CTGTCTCCAAAGCAAAACAAAAACCAAACCATGCCTTTGCCAGGTGTGGCGGTTCATGTCTGTAATCCCTGCGCCTTGGAGGATGAGGCAGGAGTTTGATGCCAGTTCAAGGCCAGTGTGAAGTGCATAGCAAGACTCTGTCTCAAAAAGACAAAAACAAAACCACACAAGGCTTTGAAGTAGGATTGTACAGAGGAGCTGCACAGAATGAGATCCTATGGCATGGGTGAAACACTCATGAGAAAGCTATAGGATCCTGGAGGCCCATCTGCACCCACAGTACCCACGGCCACAACCTCTCCTGGAACTGTACTAACAGTGCTCTGTAGCCCAGGCATCCTCCCGCCCATCACCATTAACCAACCCCATTTGTGACACACCAGCTTGCCCTGCAGGCCTCTGCCAGGGCTGGACAGGCTGTGACTGGATGGTGACTTGATGAGAAAAGAATGGTGGGCCAGTCCTGATGGATTGGCCTGGGAAGGGCAGGCTGGGATGTGCAGACAGACACAGCTTACACTCACAACACTGTGTAAGAACAGACTGCCAGGTCAGGTATTCGCAGAAGAGCGAGTGTCAGCCGTTACAGAGTTCTCCCTGTAATTACATGTGAAGCATGTGCAGACCAAGGTCACGGTGATGGATGCTTTCGTAGGCAGTTCAACCACAGCCATCTACATGTGGTGGACATGGACTTGCCTTCATGTGGAACCCTGTGGCGTGGGTGTGGGGACTCAGGATGCCCCAGCAGCTGCTGGGGGGCACAGCATTCTTCCCTGTGCTCAGAAAGACTATCTCACCCAGCAGGGCGGCTTGAGAACAGCAGCAGCCCTGACTCACAAAGGGAAGGTGGGATCTTCCCTTTGGAAATGTTTTATGAAGTTCAGAAGGGACAAACAGGGAGAAATCTACCTGTAATAATCTTGAGCTGTTTGTATCTAAGAAACCCCTTTTAAAGTTAATTTATGATTTTTTTTTTTTAATGTATTTGGTACAGTGTCTACAGGGTCTCACTACGTAGACCGGACTTGTAGTGATTCTCCACCAAGCGCTGGGATTACAGGCGCGCACCACTATGCCCCGTCTCAATCACCGTCTCAGCGTGCCCCAGGAGCAGGGCTGGACCCCAGTCACTGTGCTCTGCCTAAGCGGGCACTTTAGTGCGCTGAGCTATCTGGACAGTCCAATTTATTTATTTTTAAGAAACCCTTTAGACAGAGGGAGTAGACGCAGTACAACCAAGACAGGTGAGCACTCACTCCTCGTCCTTGATGGAGTCGTAGCACGCGTCGCACACACGGACCTGGAACTCGAAGCCCATGACCGGATAGCTGGAGCGCTTGCTGCTGCACTTGCCACACACGGCCTGCCCGCACTTCCGGCAGTGATGCTTCCCGGCGACCGAGGAGGAAAACAGGGTTTAGCCCTTGCCTTAATGCCCATGGCTTCCCTTTAAAGTTGGGGAACAGGCGTGGGGAAGACACGCCTTGAATTATAATCACCCCAATTCAATGGATTATTAACACTCGGTTTGAACATCAGTCTCACTTAACTGGTCTCATCCTGCTTTTTAGCTTCTATATTACTGGGCTACATGCTAACAAGACTAAGACCAAGTTCAAATTCATTTGGGAGCCTAATCACTCCAGATTTCAGGAAGAAAACTCTCCTCCATTCAAAGAAAAGTTTTAAAATACATTGTACATGTAATAAACCTGCACTAAGAAAATGGTGTTGTAAGTCAGGTACAGTGACACACAGCAATAATCCCACCACTTGGGAGGCTGAGGCAGGAGGATCATTGCAAATTTAAGACCAGCCTGGGCTACAAAAGGAGCTCAAGGCCAGTCTGAGCTACATAGTGAGACCGTATGTCAAAAAGATGGAAGGAACAAAGGAAAGGAGGGAGGGAGGGAGGCCTGCAGGGCAAGCTGGTGTGTCATGACCAGGGTTGGTTAATGGTGATGGGCAGGAGGACACCTGGGCTGCAGAGCAGTGTTAGTACAGTTCCAGGGAAGGAGGGAGGGAAGGAGAAAGGGAGGGAGGGAACAGTGTTAAGGCTTATTGTGTAGATATTCCCCAAAGCTTCATGTGCTTATAGGTGGAACTTTGGGGAGCAAATGGAACATGGGTGTGTGACACTAGCTCATAGGTATGCTACACTGATAAGTCCACTGATTGGGTTAGCACAGTTCTAGATATGGGTGATGGATTTATTCAAGAGGGAAGACCCACCCTGGGCATGGGTGGCACCAACCAATAGGCTTACAATATGGATGGAATGAAAAGAGAAAGAGAGGAAGTCTTGTTGCTTCCTGCTTATGATGCTATGAAGAATTTCTCCTCTGGAAAACCAGTCAAGGACTGAAACTTTCACAAATGATGAGCAAAAGTAAACCGTTCTTTCCTTTAACTTGTAGGTAGTGGGTATTTTGTTCCAGCAATGAGAAGGTCACTAAAGCAAATACTGTCCATAAGTTTTCTATCTTTAATCTCCCAAGTTGTGATTCAAAAAATAGCCTCAAGAACATTCCAAAACAACCCAGTTGTTATTACTGATTCTGACACATACTTCACTACTAAAAGTTTAGTAACCAGCACCTTTTCTTTGTTTCCAATTAGTTGTTAACGCAGGAGAGTACAGCTGCTTGCTTCATGTTTTCCTTATTCACCAATGGTAACTCACATGCCTTGTGAGAACTTAGCTAATGACAAAGGGCAGGTGCTACTGCAGAGCTTTAGGATGTTATAAGCACTAAAATAATTCCTGCATTCACTGCCAGTCTCATATTAGACCTCACGGTACAGTAGTTTTGTGAGTAAAGTCAGGGTAAATTTATCAACACACACAATTTTAGGCTAATCCTTCAGAGAGCTGCAACTAGTAATAAAAGGAATAACATCAGCATTCTCTTTTACTTACCTAAACAACCTCATATTCACCCTAAGGAGGGGCTACCTTCAGGCTGCTGCAGAGATAAATTTTGTTGTAGAACTTTGGTATTTCATGAATACCTCATGCTATGAGTACCTCTGAAATCTGTAGGCTGGGGAGGGAGTGTTTTTCTTTATTTTAAATATAAAAAATGGTACTCAAAAGATACTTAATAAAAGTGTTCCAGATATACTTTTACCAGAAGAATTTGGAATACTCCAAAACCAGTCCCTGCAAGGACTGCATTGTTACCTTTCATCTGTAACAGCACATGGTATATACTTGTGTGACCTCATTTATTCTAATATGTACTTGGCTGGTATGAAATGCTGACTTTACTGAGTAACGGTTTATGCTGAAAAGCGCTTTTACTGATTTAAAAGCAAGTCCTCAGGATCTCTGATCCCCACGCTCCTGTGCAGGAGCAGTGAGGCAACAGTCAACAGCAAGGCTTGGTGGGCCTGGGAGGCTGAGCATACCAGCAGTCACACAATGGTAGTGACATGGAAAACACGGGAACAGACAGAATTTGCAAGAACTGGGTGAGATTTAAGGAAAGAATCAGATTAATCACATATAGAAATAATGAAACACATGATCACCCAGTAATTATTTAATGTTGGCAACTCACTTGTCTCAGCCCCAGGGTCTTTGTGTCCCACATCTGCTTTATATTCCAGAAAAAGGGCTGCTCACATTTCTGACAGGAGTCGCTTTCCAACCACTGAGGAGCCTGGGAAGTAGAGTCAAAGCAGCATCAGCACACTTGTAGGTTTACACTGGCGTTTCAGACGTGAACACAGGAATTCTAGAACTTGCTGGGATTAGTACTTCTCTTTCCTTTCACAGTATATTTCAGTCGCTGTCACAATCATCATTATGTTGTGTTTTGCATAATTATTATAATTTTAGCCTATTTACAGGGTTATTTAATTTGAAATCTGGAGATGAGGGGGAATAACTGAAGTTTTACTGTGAATTCTTAAGGGCTGTCTTTATGTCTTTCTTTTTTTAATGCTCAAGTTTTTGAAATCTATATCCAGTTGAATGAAAACCCATTTCTTGCAGAATCTAATAGAATACCACCTGGAATGGCTTGGTCTCAAGTGACTAATAGGATATTATCAGACAAAAATGATACCCTAGGGCCGGCCAAATAGCTCAGCGGATTAAACCACCTGCTTAGGCAGACACAGGGGCCAGGAGTTTGATCCCGGGGTCTGCTGTGCTGACCCCACCCCCAGGGTGTACAGAGATGGGGATTCAGACAAGGTGTGGTGATGCACGCCTATAACCCCAGCACTTGGGAGGCTGTAAACAGGAGGATCACTAGGAGTCCGATCTACACAGTGAGTCCCTGTAGACCCTGCCCTAATATATATATAT